CTCCGTCGGGGGGGGGGGGGGGGGAGGAAGGACAGGAGAGGCAGATATGAAGTAGTTTCCTCTGTCCCCAGAGAACAAATTAAATAAAAGAAAAAAAATGAATTTTCATCCACAGAAGTGGCACTATTGTAAATATTTTCAAAAACTTAGCAAAACCCATTTTGTATATGGATTTAAATTCTGTTCTAAGCAGCACACAATTCTGCTGACATGACTGAAATTGCAATCAAACTCAGATTTGGTCTGCACCAAATTCAGAGCAGAATTTGACCTAAGCCATCACATAGGTAACCCAGATTTCTTACACAGTAAAAATAAATAAATAAATGCATACCCAGTACACCTACACAGACATTACTTATGAAGGACCCACTCCATTATTATTTGGTATATTCATAACAAATATTGCATGAGAACACTAACCAACAAATCTTTATGGGAACCAGAAGACGTCTTCATACCATGAGAGTCACTGTAAGTATGATTCTATGAGTAAAAGTTTAGAAAGTCAACACTAAACAGTAAACATCATCTTCAACACCGGAGCATAATAAAAGCAAGCACATGGAATTCTTAACAAAATGCCTACCGTTCTACATGAGCATGACGACCACAGAGCATGACCTATCTAGTAAGAGGTATTGAAATTGGGCCAGAATTGCAGGTTGCTCATATCACTAACCCAAAAGAAGGGCCAGATGAGTGTGACTGCAACTTTGGGCTATCCAGTAAAGACAACCAGTATTCAATATTCACAATAGTTCTCAAAAGAATAAAGCATGCAACTTTGAAAAAATAAGCTTAAAAGATAGAAGTATATTTGAAGTGTTTATTACTTTCACTTACTTGAGCTAATACATGGTTTATTCAAAGTTCATCAGTGTTAATCATCACTAACTAAGAATAATTGATTTCTGGTTTGTTTATAGGTTCATGTAGGAGACAGAAGTGTTTGATTCCCGTGTCTGCTTAAAAGGAAGCTTCACTTTGAAAAAATAAGCTTAAAAGATAGAAGTATATTTGAAGTGTTTATTACTTTCACTTACTTGAGCTAATACATGGTTTATTCAAAGTTCATCAGTGTTAATCATCACTAACTAAGAATAATTGATTTCTGGTTTGTTTATAGGTTCATGTAGGAGACAGAAGTGTTTGATTCCCGTGTCTGCTTAAAAGGAAGCTTCAGAAACGCCCCATATCCCGGTTTGAGAATTTAAGCTTTGTTGTTGTTTCTTAAATTAAAATCTGATGTGGCCTCTATATTGCTCATGCTAGTACAGCTGTTGGGTAGGTGGCAAGCCATTTGGATTGCATGTAGCAAAAGATCAAATAGTCTTGGCCACAAATCCTTGATGCACAATGGCAAGCCATAACAGGCTCGGCTTTCTGATAGGAACCCCCTCTGCACAGGTTCCTCACATTTCTCCATCCCTGTACACCACTGCTGGCCCTCACTGGTGCAGGTACAAGAGGTCATCCTCCATCAGTGTAGCAGAAGGAACAGTACTATTTGCCAGAATAGATGTATCAAGTATCTTCCAATCAACAGAACATCTCCTTCTGTATATATTTGAAGCACTTTTTTCCCCTGACTTCCTCCTATTCCAAATACTACTTCTGTTCTACTGCCAGCTCACCCCACTATTTTAAGACTATGGCAGCAGCCACTTATTGCCCTGCTAAAAATGTCCACATTTCTGAACAGTGAGATGATTTGTCACAGCAGTAAGCTAGCACTATATGACCAATTTTCATACTGCCTGAATAACAGAACTTTAAATATTTACATAAGTTCTGTTACAACAATATAAGAATGTGGAAACAGTCCAGAAAATGACTCTGTAAAACAGCACTGTAAGTTGTAGGTTTCCATGCTTACTGTCTCTTAATAACTGACATCAAATTTATTCCATTTATAGATAAGAAAATATGTGTCAAGACTTAATTCTGGGATACGAGTGTAAATGTGTTCCTTTTGGGTGACACATTTTCCAAGATTCCAAGATTCTTTAATTGTATCTTAGTTAACCAATCTGAATAAGCCACAATAGCATCCAGAATCCCTCTTCTATTCATGTTGGCTTTGTAATGCTGTCAGAAATAAAATTTTATTCTTCCTGGTGAAGCAAGCAGACTTTTAGTACTCCTAGGAAGCTGAACTGTTGAGAATGGTGGCGTTACAAGTGTCACTTTTCTGACTGTAACAGGAATTCAAAGCAGAATGGAAACTGGTTACAGAACCTTTCTATACACTGTTAATAGTCCAACTAATGCCAAAACTGGTGGTGGTGGGGGTTTCACGGAAGACATTTATACTGCTAAGAGGAGACTGACAAGGATAATCTCTTTACTGTTAAACTGATTACTCTGAATATTTGTCTTCCCACCTTGATTCAGGCCTGGTTTTGTTTTTAAGCGGCATCATTTTAACTAAAAAAAAAGTGTGATTTTAAACACAACATATGAAGACAGATCAGACTGCAGAATGCTGTTGCCAGCAAAGCCCCATATACGGGATCATAATTCATTAACAATTTCAGAAAACATTAAAACTTGCCTATATACATTATAGATAAAATTGTCTAAGCTGAAATAAAAGTTACCCTTAATTTTCTTATTTCAGCCCAGATCATGGGGACCAGTACCAACCCCAAAAAGATATGGCTTGAAAAAGCTACAAATTGAAGCTTGAAGCAGTCTCCTGACAAAAGTTGCAGCAGAAGATCTACATTTAATTTAAAGCAGTGCTTTTCAACCTGCCATATCAACACGTTTCTGTTATTTGAGGAACTAGGAAACTACCTCTTCCCACAACAATGCTCCCAACTGTGGTTTGCTGAGCCAAAACAAAACTTAAGCCACAGTTTTCTTCAAATACAGTTTTGAAGAAAGCTGCATTATACAAGTAATAAACACACTCAAGTAACTATTATTTTCCATTAAAATGTGTTCTAGCTGAAATAAGTACTCAATATTTTATTACTACTTCTGATCAACAGGCACACACAAAATTTTATATTACATGAATAAGTCAAAACATGCTCTTTTCCAGGTTACAGACCACAAGATCTCTCCTCCTGGAGGTGCTTGTTCTGCTTGAATGAGACCGATTGACATCCAAAGATGAACTCTTAGGAATGAAATTGTAGAAGATTATGTATTGCAAATATATAAATAATAAATATTCAAAATAAATAGTCTTCAACTTAGAAATATATAGAAATATGCACTAAAGGCATGGTGAGCAGGTACTAAAGATAATTTTATGTGCTAGGAATGATAGTATAGTGAATTGTGTGGTCACCACTAACAACTGCTATAGATAACTATCTCCTGTGCTATTTTTATCCATACTCATTTGTGCTTTCTTTGTTTTTTATTTCTGGAAAAATAAGAAATAACATGACTGCTTTATTATTTTGTCTATTGGAATAGATGGAGAGGCTAACGTTTATCTACCAAATTAGTTTCTCTAATATCTAGTGTGGATATGAACATTTACTCATGGTTTTTCTAATGGAATGCAGTCATATACATTTTTCAAAAAGACAGCACAATAAGAAGGCGTGTTAACTTTAGATTTATCTAAAAATATAGTACTTTTCCTAATTATAACCATTTTTTGCCTCACTTACCTATAAATAAAATTTTGGAGCAATTATATATAAAAAGTTCCAGTCACATTTTATACCAAATGGTAAGTTACTCCACCATTTACTATTTACTTCAGATATGATCAGAAATATAAAGGTGATCAAAATTCTCAATTGTATTAAATGTAGAATATGCCATTATTAGTTTTATTTAGGGCATAATTTAGCAAAACACCTAAATTGTCTGGTAGCACTAGCCCCATGAGATTAAGTCTCAGAGCCTGGATCTACAGATTCGCCTTCCTCTATAGCATGGGGCACAGATCACAGCTGGAGGCTTTTTGGGGTCTTTAAACTATTTGAAGGCTTCAATATCTGAGATATTGGTGAGAGGATTATTCCAGAAGTGGGTGGGTGAGATTCTGTGGCCTGCATTATGCAAGGGGTCAGACTAGATGATCATAATGGTCCCTTCTGACCTTAAAGTCTATGAGTTGTTTGCTACGTAGACTACTTAGAAAAAGAAATGGGCACTGTCATAATAACAATAATAAATGTGACTTATTCTTACTTTCTGACATTTGACAGTCATCTTTTAGCTTCTAATGAAAATAATAAGATTTAATTTTGCACTTCAGAAAGAAGGGTCAGAGATTAAAACAGACAGCTTGTTTTATACTACATGCAACTTATGTACTAACCCTATGACTGCCAATACTTTGAGCAGAAAATACGTCATCTGCTCCCTGATAACAAAAACAAAAGCAAAAGCAAAGTGAAATGTTTGTTTGTTAAAGTAAGGCGTAACAGGGAGAAGGAAATTTTATAGGGTAGGACAAACCAGATACGAATGATGACTAGACCGGAGAGAATACCTGGCCCTCTCTGAATCTTCCTAAGAAAGAAGAAATGTAAAGCTATTTAAGAAAAAAATTAAAATAAAATTAGGCAAACTAAACAGCATGCAACACCTATTTTTCCACATAGATCAATGTCTGGGGGGAAAAAAAAAATCAGCGGAATTAAGTGAATCCATTCAAGTCAGATGAACATTGCTTACATTTCATTTTGACTTTAAGCCAAGTGTCTACAATACTATGGTGTTAAGAAAGTGCAGATGAAGTGATGTATTTAATTGAAAGTAAAACATGGACAGTCTTTTGCTGCTTGAGCAGAAAAATATATCTAGAAAAAATGTAGAAGAATCTCAAGCATCAAACAAAAGAGATCGAAGAATTATACTATCGGGAAGCTATCAAAACAAGATTGTGAAACTGGATTTCAAAGTCACTTTAGCTCAGATAAAGATATCCCTGTCTCGCTGTCACCAAGATTAACTTCCTGCTAAGGGCAGCAACTGAAATTAAAATATGATTATATCCTGTAGCTATACCTTTTTCATTTGGGGAATCTTGACCCTTTAATTACCCTGACTTTGCTTGACTTTTAGATAATGAATATGTAACTATGTAAATAAAATGTTGCTTTTTGCCTAGTCCCAATCCAGCCCCTTGCTTCCCAGTTCCTAACACCCTTTGACTCTCAATCCTATGCCCCTTGCCCTTTGACCCTTTAACATCTGACCCCTACAGTCTATGCCAACACCTTCTTGCCCTGTGACCCCTTCCCACCACACCCCCTGCACTTCCCAGAGCAAGACTTCCCCTTCTCTAGGGAGCATGGCCATTACTGCTGTGTGAGCAGGGAGAGCGGGCCTCCTTCTTGATGCCCCTTCTCTCCCCAAGCACATCTTGCACACTCACAGGTGGACAGAGCCCCAGATGCCCGCCATTATGGTGGGAGGAGGGAGGAAGGCACCTCAGCCCCAGCACTGCCACTGGCAAAAGCGGACACACAGGGCGGGGGGGAGGGGGCGGGGGAGGGGAAGCTCTGGGGTGGCACCTCCTGCTCTGCCTCAACCCCAGTGCCGACGGCAAAAGCTGCCGGCTCAGGAGCTGCTGGGCTTGGCAACTCTTGTTAATAGCAGCTTCACACTTGATATAAGGGATTTGTGTGTATGTAGATGGTGGGGTTGCACTCGAATTATACCTAAAGTTACCTCTCCTCCAGTGAAGATAAACCTAATAAGTTAAACAATGGGAATAATAAGCACTTGGATCCCATGATAAGTGCTTTTAAAATACATAATTTGTGTGGGATTGACAAGATATATGTACA